TGCCATCGGCTGTGCACTGCTGCAAGCAGACGCTGAGGGGCGAGATCGGGTGATCGCGCTTGAATCTCGCTTGCCCAAGGCTTCAGAGATGAACTACCCTGTTCACGACAAGGAATTACTTGCGATGAATTATGCACTTGTCAAGTTCAGAATGCACCTGCTTGGTTACAAGTCGTTCGTGATCTACACAGATCATGCGTCACTACGCACTGCGACTCAGTCGGCTCACCTCTCGCGGAGGATGGCCAGCTAGCTCTCCTTCCTCGCAGAATATCGCTTCGGGGTGAAGTATAAGCCAGGAAAGCAGAATGCTTTGGCTGATGTGTTGTCACGCAGACCAGATTATGAGTTTGTTCATGTAACGACAGTGACGACCTCCGTGTCGGATTTGACCCGCGCCGCATACGCGTGTGATGATATGTGCGTAGCGCTGCTACAGGTTCTCGGGGGAAAGGAGCTTGGGAGCTCGGATAAGAAAATTTCGTCGCGACTACGTGCATGGTTGCACCGATATTTACTGATAAACGGATTGCTGTATTATAGCACCGACTCGACGGATACGCCGCGAACTGTGGTTCCTAACGATTAGGATGTGAATTAAAGAATCACCTATGAGGTCCAAGACACCCCACTCAGTGGTCATCTCGGTCGTGAGAAGACGTACAGCTCTGTGAGTTGCCACCTCTGGTTGCCAAGCTAAAAATGGACGAGCACATATGTGCGCACTTGTGAGACGTGTCAAAGGTTGAAACCCACCCCGAATGCCGCGGCGCCGCTGGTCAGTTTACCAGTACCTTCGGGTGTTGGCAGTCCATGAGTATGGACTTTGTGTTTTGCCTGTCGAAGGACTCGGCCGGCAACACGGGTGTGGTGGTCTCTGTGGATCGATTTAGCAAGATGGATAATCTTGCTGCAGTGCTGGATACCATCGACGGTGTGGGTACAGTGACACTGTTTGTCGATCGTTTTTTTCAGCAGCATAGACTCCCGCAGTCAATTGTCTCTGATAGAGACCCGCGCTTCACTGGGGAATTTTGGTCTACGATCTTCAGGGTGCTGGGCACCAAGTGGACTATGTCAACAGCGGACCATCCGCAGACCGATGGTCAAACTGATCGCCGTCCGGTGACTCGCATTTTTCAGCTCTTGAGGACGAAGTCCGTCTCGATCGGAACTCCGTTGAGCATCATGTTGGGGTCGCATACCACTACGCGGAAGACCAAGAGAGATTTCAGCACCGGCTGCCTCACCTTGAAGACTATCGCGCTCTATCGGAGCGAATCCTAGCCGTTGAGCTGGCAAATGCGTCGGTTCATACAAAGGTGGAGCGCCTGGTACGGCTAGAGCAAGCCCCGAAAACACTGGGTGGGTGTGCATCCGTTTCGAGAGATTTAGCCTAAATACAAGGCCCCGCTTGGCCACAACCTTGAAATATCTGATAAACCGTGGGCGGAGCTCCGTCGTAAAGACAGCAGAAGTTGTATGGGTAGGAGCATTAGTCTTCGACTTCGAAGTTTTTAACATTTCCTCTATCTATTCCGTCTTCATAATCCTTTACATGTTCTGGCTTTCAGCCATTGTATCGCCAACGTATCGCAAGACACTCAGTCTGGTAGACAGGAAGTCATCAACTTCTTTACGAACAGACATCAGCTAGCCGCTCGGCTATTCCTCCCCCATTAAGCCCTGAACCGTGGGCTGGTGGTGCCAGTGGGACGCGAGAATGAACGAGCCCGTTCACGTTGGTTGGCGTGAAGCCAGTAGACAAATGCATTGCATTGTTTAGAGCGAACTCTACGAGCGGCAGCAAGGTGCTTCAGTGCTTCGGCGTCTCAGCGCAGACGCTGCGCTGACGTCATCGTCCGCCGCCAACCTTTCTCGACGAGAATGGTGGTGTCCGCTATCACGTGGAACGTCTTGTGGATCGACAACGTCACCAGTGTCAACCCTATTATCTTGTGAGGTGGCATGGATACCCGACATCCAGAGCTCGTACGAGCTTGAGGTGCCACGTCGGCAAGACTGCTCAGACGTCGTTGGCGCTTATGATTAGAGGGATCATGAAGTTCCGCGATGTCGTACGCCCTGCGCTTTCCGGCAATGGCCAGTGAAGCTGAGAGCAATTAGCTGAGCCCAACCTGGGCTGTTGCGGTCGC